ATTGAACCCGACTCCCTTTGCGGCCACTAGGCCAATGAGGCAAATACAGTTAAAATTGACCTACAGAACATTTAACTTTTTTCAGTTCAGTATTGACCAGTTTTTTATCAAATCGATGATGAAAACACTCAAAAGCAAAGTACAGAGTCATTCTCTAATTGTAAAGATCTCCAAAACTAAGTTGTTTCGTGCATGAAACTGTTTAAAAACATTAGATACTTTTTTTTTCGTTATTTGTGTGCCGGTAAATATCGTTTATATGCCTCGATGGTCAAGTGATCGCTAGTCCGGATACAAAGCAAGAGGTTTTGTTTCTGGGTTTTTTTTAAGGGGGGAAAATCATCGAATGACTGCACCCGCCTGGGTGAGGCGGGAGCGAGTGTCAGGCTCTTACTGACTAAAAACCACCCCGTTCCTTCTTCTGCACTTCGAGCCGGAGCTCGCTAACCCGACGGTAGAATGAGATAAGACTGAGGTCGACTCATTTGCCCTAATTATTTCACACTTTAATCCTATTACCAGAAGGTTGAAAGCTCCATGTCAACATTAAGAAGTTGGTGCGGCGGCTGGGTTGGTGTAGCCAGTTCGCTTCACCAACGGCGGGAGAAGTCATTCGATGATTTTCGCCCCTTAAAAAAATCTCATACTACCTCTTTCGGGGGTAGGGACAGGAAAACCCGTCGAGAAACATCAAAAAAATATTCATAAGACCGATCGATGGTGTAAGAATAATCTGTGATTCATTTTATTTCTTTTAACAATAAAACACGGATTCAAGATAAATACTGTTGTTTTCACTACTTTAAAACTGCCCCACTTTGCGCAGTCATGCGTGAACGCAAACTTATTTTTTATTTTACTTGAATCAGTACGTAAAATAAGTAGGTACTTCGCTCATTCGCTCGTATTTTTTTCATCGTTCCAAAGTTCTCGGAATCACTTAAACGTCAATGCAAGTTCCTTAATAAGTTTTTAAATAAAATAAAACACTACTAGCACTTAGCAGGCTGGCTCTACAGATTTTGGGAAGATAAGATTTTGATGCGCGATATGAATCAATCCGCAAGTTCTTGCGATGCGTAAGAGGATCTCGCACATTTTTGTGATGCGACGACGCATCGCAGTTTTGTGTACCTACGAGCCCTTTTTTTTTAAGGGGGGAAAATGATCGAATGACTGCGCCCGCCTGGGTGAGGCGGGAGGGAGTGTCAGACTCTTACTGACTAAAAACCACCCCGTTCCTTCTCCTGCACGTCTAGTCGGAGCCCCGGTTACCCGTTAGGTTCTCCGCGACTCCGAATCGGCATCGGCCGTATTGGGCCTCATCTGTGGTGGTCTGATGGCTCTTTGAGGCGCGCGCGGAACGCGACGCGCCGTACGCTCGGGTCTGTTTCTGGTCGGACGGGGAGCCACCCATGCTCGCCGTCCGCAGGCCCGCGCTTACGGTGGCCGGAGATCGTCCCGCGATCCCCGACGCCCGGTGTGTCCTTCGCGATGACTGGGTTGCGAGGAGGCAGCGCTTCGCTGCCTCACGCGTCCCGCCGCCTCCTCAATAGGAGGAGCTCTCGCGTCCGGGCCTAGTGCAGGCATTGGCCTGCACTAGGCATGGACACTGAGAGGTCGCCATCTCGCATCACTTCCCTGAGGGCACGGCGGTGCTCAGCCCACGCAGGGTATATCATCAAGAATAATAATATAATTTTCTGTTTACTATCTTTGTCTGTAAGTTCACAGATGTCTGCAAGATTGCATTGGTGATCATTGTGCCTGCCGATATGTTTACGTGGTCTCCATTTCAAGGATACGCGTGTTCGGTGTACCTTCGGTCTTTTAAAAGACTTATTGCTTTGATAAAAGAAGTTCAATGACCCGTATTATATAAAATATGTGTAGGTAAATAGGTATCTAGGTATAAATATGTATAATTATGTAGTTACATACAGATAAGTTAATACGCAAACCGGATCACAGATCTCATTTCAGTGTGTAACTAACTTAAAAATAGTGTTTAAAAACTTTTTAGGGTTCCGATGCCAGTTGCTCAATGGACATATTTTATTTTAGTTGTGTGGGGATCTGGAATTAGTGGGTTTTTAAGGTTTTTTTTAAGCAAACTAAGATCCTCAAACTGACAGACAAAGGAGATACAATTTGCGTTCAGACATTGCGCAGGTTTATTATTGTCATTTTAGTTCCTGTTCGTCTAAGTACCTTTTGGTTAATTCGACGTATTTTTCTTACGAAATGTAACAATAACAAAATCAGATATTATGTAACCCCCTAAAATACTCATGAAGCCACTCTACTAGGCTGTCGCGGAGAACCTAATGGGTTACCGGGGCTCCGGCTCGACGTGCAGGAGAAGGAACGGTGTTGTTTTCAGTCAGTAAGAGTCTGACACTCCATCCCGCCTCACCCAAGTGGGAGCAATCATTCGTTGATTTTCCCCCATTAAAAAAAAAACTCTACTAGGATTATCTTTTTAAATATCAAGGTAACTACGGAACTTCATACCAATTTAAACGTAAACATGTCATTTTTGAACCTTTTTTTGCCGTTGCAACATGAAGGTGCATAAATAATTGTCTGTAAGGGTTTTTACTAAGTTACGAATCACGAATGGTTGCTAGCAGCACCTAGTTATTTATCCATAACTCGTTTCTTTCTTGGTTAAGGACAGTGCTTGAAGCTTCAACGCAAGTTAAAAGTAAGTACAGTTAGCGACAACAACTCGAGACATAGCAGCAATTTATAGCATTTTCTTCGTTAGATAACCAAATAAAATTATGTTATACAAAATTCTTATCGTCAAATTTACTGCTTCGGTAGTTCAGTGATCCCAGGGTACATAGAATAAAATAATTATTTTCTATTACTATCTAGAGCTACACTTAGAATTTAAATTTCAAAATACGTGTAATCACTTTGCTCTGCCATAAATTACAACAAATTGGTTACGATACACATAATTTTATTGATAACGTGTTTGCTCCTAATCGTTTTTCACATGACCGTATCAAAACTTTTGGAATTTTATTCAACATTTTGAGGAATATTTTAGGAACATAAATATTTTTTTAATATAGCATTAGAGAAAGTTTTTCTCTTGACCTAATCACATGGTTGAACCTGGCCAAGACTCAAAGCTCAGGTTTACCTGAAGCCAGCATTTGTCATAGCGCGACTACAATCTATACGACTACATTACCTACATACCTACCTTCAAATATATTTTTTTTTAACCCGTCGAGCGTCCGCGTTCCTTATGCATTTCCTTATCCTTATGCATGCAAGAAGTCGCGGAGAACCTAACGGGTAACCGGGGCTCCGGCTCGACGTGCAGGCGAAGGAACGGGGTGGTTTTTAGTCAGTAAGAGTCTGACACTCCCTCCCGCCTCACCCAGGCGGGGGCAGTCATTCGATGATTTTCCCCCCTTAAAAAAAAAAGCCTTATTGAAAACTTAGGGCCGAATTTCCAATCAACATATATTTCCTAACTGTTGAATTGACATTTGAAAGTTTTTAATATTATGTCATTACCATAGAAATAAAACAAATACAGTCAAAATAAAAACAAAACATTAATAATAGATTTTATAAAAGAGAAAGCAGCATGGAGCATTTTTTCTTATGATCCACCGGGTGCTCATAAGGACGCTCGAGGGGTTAAGGGGGGATAATCATCCAATGACTGCTCCCACCTTAGTGTCAGACTCTTACCGACTAAAAACCACCTCGTTCCTTCTCCTGCACGTCGAGCCGGAGCCCCGGTTACCCGTTAGGTTCTCCGCGACACCTACAGATATAATACGATTACAATACGATTACAATACCTAATGGCTAATGACTGTAATCCGCTAAGGCTAATGCAGAAAACAACAATCGATTTTTCCAAAATCTCTGAATCGATCTTAATCATAGACATTTTTATGGAATAGGAGGCAAACGAGCAGACAGATCACCTGATGGTAAGCGATCAGCGCCACCCATGGACACCCGCAACACCAGAGGAGTCACAGGTGCGTTGCCGGACTTTAAAAAGGAATACGCTCTTTACTTGAAATTTTGAAGGTCGTATTGGTTCGGAAATACCGACGACGACAGATCGGATTAATTAATTATTAATTTCGATCATAAAATGCATATCGTATTTTTTATTACCAAAGCAATTGTCAGATGATTTAGTGAGGGCTACAAAGTCCTCCAAAATTGATATGCGATAGCTCGCCACTTGCATCCCATCCAATGGATCTCCGCGGTTCTGAGAATGTATTCGGTCCACATAACGATGGTGTAATAGCTTTTACAAGTAGAAAAAGCCATTAAATATGGTAATCCTATGTCATTGGAGAAAATGTCTAGGTAGGTACAGAGTATTGTATAGGTAGATACTGTACTGGAATTAATTCCGCATTCAAAACGGATAGCGGATGCGTGTCACGTTGGAGAGTGAAGCGGACAATTATTTGATTGTACGCAATGAGCTTGCACCAAAATCTGAATTATTTTACCTAACTGTACCTATCTACAAGTTTTATAAAACCGTTATTCATAGTTATGTCACAAAGTCTCTTGTTGTGCAAAATTATGAGGCCTGACTTTTGCACAACGATTTACGTGACACGCCGACAAACAAAACATCCTAGCTATTTAACTAACTCTAGTGACGTACAAGCATCCCACTAAGCCTATCGACTATCGATAATCTTTAGATCAATACAGCATAACTCGGTAATATTGTCACAAATGATCACCATCATAAACACTATTGCTTAATGAATAACTTATAAAGTAGGTCGATTATGTAAAAGTACTTTCAAATGTACTTCTTGCGCATAAAGTACTAAAGCGTAGTACGACTTACACAAGTAAAACAGTAATTAGGGAAAAATGCCGTATAGTGTAGAAACAATAATAATAATACGCAAGTTAGCATCACTAGATGAAAGACGGGGTTTCGTAACAGCTTGGTGTAGTCAGTCGATGTTAAGGCTACGGAGAAATCGACGCGTCCGCTTTCCCTTCCCTACCTGGCGCGAGTTTTAAAAAAAAGCAATTGGAAATTTAATTATCGAATGCGAAAATATTTCTTTCGAATTTCAAAATACGTTGTGTTTTAAAAAAAAATGTGTTTGTTCGATTAGCTTTTAATTCTTTTTAACGTAAGATTAACTTTTGAATTCATTTACAAGTGACAAATTAATGAAAAATGTGGAAACAATTGGTTGATTAATTCGATGTAAGTAAGTCGTTTGTTTATTTTATCATTTATTGTATTAACTAAGTTTTATGGTTGTCTATTTTATTTATATATGGAGTTTTTTGCCGTGTCATTCAATTGATTCAATTAACGATTTTTTTATCATTACATAAATATTGTTTATATTCTGTGTCAAGGTTGTGTCATGAATTTATACCATAGACATAATTTTAATATTTCTGAAATTAAAACTATTTTTTTATAATTCAGTAATAGATATTTATTATTATGTACCTAAGTCTATTTATTTATTTGGTACAACTTTATTTATTACTTGGAAAAAGAAAGTAGAAAAGCTTTCACTTGTTTTTCTATTTAAATTTTACTTCCCTCTATCTTATGACACTGTGCTATTTCTTTAAAATTTTACTATGGAAGATAACTATTTAGATACATATTTTAAAAATGAGGAAAAACTATTAATTGATCTGATTTGAATAGGTAAGTACTTAGTCTTTTAAAACAATAGGCAACTTATTAGGACCTGAGTAGGCTAAGGTCTTGGTAAGCTATTGTTCAAACCTTGGACAAAATCTTTATTCCTTCGTAAAATTTTAATTTAAAGTTACCATCTTTTGATTACGCCGTCGCTGAATGCAAGTCGCTTCCAGCCGATATTGGAAAAGATCTATGTTCAGCAGTAAAAATATATTAGCACAGTTAGTAAATAGTAAATCACATAACA